ATTATTATTGTTATGCATAATACGCATGTTGCCCATCCCATTAATAAATTCTTCTGGGAGGATCGGAAAGATGTCAGTGAAATTTAATGAAAACCTGCTGCAAGAGGACTTCTTTATTCAAAATTAATTCGAGCGAAGTAAGTCAGAAAACTAATTAGCAGGTGGTCCCGCAACGATCGCCTACGTCAGTAACTGTTTATTCGTGTTGGCAGTTTTCAACGGGGTTTGTGTTTTCAAATGTTATGTGTTTAAATATTGTCGTAGATGTGTGTTTCGTCTTTTTGATCCTGCTTATTTTTGTAATGCACTTAAGTGATGAGGATGTTTTTGTTTTACAGAGTATTCACTCTCGCAGTGGTATGCCGCCGGAAACAAACGTAGTAAGCTTTATTTTTTTTTCGCTTTTGGTTCTTTGACTAATTGTGGGTGTTCTTCGGATGAGTTCAGTTTGCTTACAGTTTTGTTCAGAAACATATCCAGCACTCGATAACGGATGTACTATCGACGTTGTGTGATGGATTGCCTCGTGAAGAGAGGCGTAAAAAATTAATGGAACATCTTTCCACTACCCAGAAACAGTATCATGATATCCTCATAGGAAAAGAGAAAACGAAGTCGCATATCGAAGAGGCTAGAGTGAAGTAAGTTGATCTCTGTCTAAAGTTGCTAGAGGTGAAGCTTCCGTGACTACTTACTCATTGCCCTAGCCAAGCCTATTTCACGACGCAGTTGTTCCGTGTGTGCTTTTCCGGCTCTAAAACCCTCTGAGCTCGAAACTGATAATGCAAAGCCCGGATGGAAGCAGTAGTTTTTAGCAATCTTACTGCACCTGGCTAGATTACCCTGTGCTGCGTGCCCAGAGCGACGTTTAGATAGGTAATATTGCCCTGAAACTGCTCTCACGGAGCAAATGGTGTAAAATGGGATCGTCAGCAATCGTTGATTGAACATTTGCAGTGTCGGTGAGAGCAGGGATAGTATAGCGAGTAAGACATGTTCTTTATACTGCACATCCCAGTGATGGAGTGGGCGTGGCTGCGTGCTTTACTTGAATACGGCGTAGGATGCGTTGTTCGTGGGATATTCCCATTTGATATAAACGTTGTCCCATCCCCTACTGGACAAAGTCATGGTTGCAACCGTTCAGAAACTGCAATACCCCTCCAGAATAGCAGCAGCCGCCACGTTTGAATGAAGTACGCGCGCCCTCCATCTCTGGGATATAGACTGTATTTAGCCTAAGCCTCAATAGTGAAGGGGACAGAGACGGGCTAATGCCCCCCCCCCTCCACCGATCCAGACTAGCTCCCTACAATAATGATAACTAGTGGGACTACGGCAGTTGCTTTCAGTTACAAGAGATTGCGAGGTTCTTTTAGTTTTCTTAGTGATGCTCGGCTTATTATTGTATGCTATCAGACTTATTATTTTCAGATATGAAAATATGGACGATATGATTCGCACACTTGAACAGCTGAAATGCAGCTTAGAGCAACATATTCGAACTGTAAGATTGAATGAGAGTTCATTTGCGGGAACATCGGCTGTACTTGAGTACGACACAGCAAAGAACACGCACTAATAATCTCATTAGCGTCATCAAGGTGATTTCTGCTCTTTTTCTTCACATATACTTTCATTTATTATTTGATTTTTGCATGTTCTTCTCCGCGATTCTTATATGTTCCAAGGCTGTGCAAAGGTAGTTGGGACTACGAGAAATAGTTTAAGTTGGAAAAACTCAGGAAGGAGGTAGGTAGAGTGCGTTGTTAGAAGAGGAACTTCTGGAGGAGGTCATATGACACCACCATTTCACCCATCACAATGTTGTACCCTGAATTGAGGAAGGCACGCACCGCAGCGTCCATGTCCCTTCCCTTTGGCAAGGTTCCAAATATATCCACTGAGGAACCCCAGGGGCTAACGACGACAGTGGTTCGTCTGGATGAGAGGCCAAAGGAACTATATGACTTCAGAATATTTTCCCCTTTATGAAATTGCCTTTTTTCTTTTATATAGCAGAGCAGAGGCGATCAAAGCCATGGCGGCCATCAGGGTACAGCATCCTCGGGAGAATCCCACAAAGAGTTTTATTCAGTTAGTACTTAGTCTGTGAAGAGGAAGCGGGTCGTATCTGACGTTGAGGGAAAATTTTCCGAGCTGCGATGAAAATTTTTCCATTTGCTGGATTTTGCCCCGTTATATGCGTATGGAATTCTCCCCCTCCTCTCCTCACTCCTCTCCTGCACTTTCTTGTCATGAAATTGGTGAAATTCTTGGAAAATTGGTAGGAAGTCGGAATGGCGGAAGTAAGTAAGTAAGATAAGGTAGACAAGGGTAGTAAGATAAGGTAGGTAGGTGGTTGGTAGACTGTGAAAGGGGATCCCACTGATCGTACTGACCCCGTCATTCTTTCCCATCCCGATTGTAATACCCTGAAACGATCTTGCAGAGCAAATATAGCGCGCTTTTGTGGGATCCCCTCAGTTATTCTTTCAACTTTCAGGCCCGCTCACAATGGGATCGAGCCAAGGAGGTACTGAAAGAGGATGGGAAGGACGATCAGCAGAAAATGTACGAGAGCCTAGCTGATATGCAAGCTAGTCAGGACATCCTTTCCAAGGTTTGTTGACTCAATTTGAGCTTGATTTATATTGGGTAAATAAATTAATTCAGTTCATCTCCCAAGGATTCGATACGAAAGAATTCGAAGAATTAAAAGACCGTTTCCTTGCATGGCAAAGCGCCGCGTTAATTTTCGCCATTCAACAAGCGGATTTTGAGAAATTGGCTGAAATCCAGAAAACTTATGACAGCCTTGGACGTAAAGACGGTAAGTACTTAGTACCAGTACGGCTTTACGATTTCTTTTCGTCAAATGCGAGCCTCAGTTGGTGATTTACAGAGTTTATTTCAATTTTCCGCCGTGTATCGATCAATAGGTTGCGGGAGTTCTCATCCGATGGTCCATCGATTCAATCAATCATTGACGCTTTGTACAAGGAATTAGAATTCGCTTTCAATCATCATCACAAGTGAGTCCTTTTGCAGTACCTTGCCTGAAACTTTTAGTTTTAGATAACAGCATATTTCTGTATCCAAGAAATTTTAGAATTTTAAAACCCTTTGTCCTTACTAGCTTCGGGCTCCTTTTGAGCGATCGTTTTTAGGGTTCTCCGCCGATTTCTCGATGATGATGCAGCATCTACCGTGCTTTCTGAGGCCATTCAGGAAGGTCTGAATGAGTTAGATCTTTCAGTTCCTTTCTCGAATATCACCTCCTCTGAAGAGAACCCAATTGACCTTCTTCAAAAAACTAATCAGGTAGCGTTTTCGTTCTCTCAAGTTTTCTTTCAAATTCTGGGTGTAATTGGTTGAACTGGTTCCTTTGTTAACTCTGACTTACTTCAGTTCTTAACCACACGTTCTGATGCTTCATCAAAGATCCCATACCTCGATGGTATCTCACAGCAGTTAAGAACTGAGATAATCAACGATCTCATCGCACCTTTCCGTAGCGCCTTAACCACGTACGTGTTATCGAAGATCAATACGGTCGATTTGGTAAGTTTCGCTACCTTCAGCTCGATTTTTAATGTTGCATACGTTCTCTGTAATTAAGCCGGTCCCATAGTAGCGTTTTGTACGATAGTGTGGTTTTAAGAGAGTACGCGGTAAGTTAGGTGGTCAATATCCTTAGTCCCGTCTCGCGGTCGTCGCGCGCAACGTGGCTAAGTTGGTTAGTATCCCTTGTCTAGTCGACTTGACACAACACAGAACTGCCAGGTAGAATCATTCGGGACCTGGTGTGAATGCCTCCTCTAAAAACTGCTGTTTTGCCGCGATTTAGGGCCCACGAAGTACGGTCGGTACGTTTTAGCTAGTTGCCGGAAGAGACGTAGACACAGAGAGAGGATTGAAACGCTGCAGCGCTGCCACTGTGAGTGGATTGGGTCCTGGTGCGAATGCTGTCATCACTATCACGCTTGCAACGCCTCTTTCGTCCCACTCACCGCGACTCTCAAG